GAAATTGCAAGGCCTCGGGAAGCAACGAACAGATTGGCTTGAACTTTGCGAACCATGCCTTGCGTGTGGGCGTCGAATGAGTCGAGGGTAAGAACCATTACAGGCTCCATTGTGCTCCAACCGCTGAGGTACTTGGCGACTTTGTGGTCTTCACTTGACGTGTTGAAAATGTAGTTAAAACCTTTGTTGGTGGCCAAGATGTTCCACGCCCCGCGATCGAAGATCCACCGTGCCGTTAATTGCTCCGATCCGTTCGCGTGTTGTGCACCCCCGCGTCGAAACGAGTGAGACGATAACCTTTGGTCCACACCCGCCGCCGCCGAAATACGTCCAAGGATACGATTGACATGACTGTGTATGGTAGGTACGCTCTTCGAAGCTTGGGCCTTATCGTCAACGTTGATGGCACTTGGGTTGTCCAAGACGTCCAGCAATGGTGTGGTTGGCCCGAGCTCATGTTTGACTGAGCTTGCTTGACTAGGCAGGTTGTCGACGATGTTGGCACAAGGTCCGTTCTGCGCAACGGTCGCCAGCGCGATTGCAAGCAAGGTACAAGTCGCGAAATCAGTGTCCGGGTACAGGGATAATCCTTGTTCCTCGCTGGTCTTGACTCGAACAAATCGTAGGAAGAACACCCCACCAGCATCAAGCAACAAGGTTGTGCTTGCGGACCATGGCCAAGTCAGACGCGCGGCCAAAAAGATACCACAAGAGGGACAACAAGGCGGCGTCTTGGTAGTGACTGCTGCAAGTGGCGGTCGAGTACAAATACATCAACATACGCTTCAAGTACTGTTTGGTTCAGACTATAGCTTGGTTCACAACCGCTCCGCCATCCTTCTTCGCGCAGTAGTTTTGCAAGATCTTGCCAGCACGTAGTAGTTTTGAGTCCACGATGGCCTGCAGTTGCGGAAACTCGTCGAGAAGCGTCATCTTCACTTGTCGAAAGTACTGCATGCAGGAGTTCTTGGACAACTGTATTCCAGGTGATTTCTCGCACGCAGCGAGGTACAAAGCAAACTTCTCCTTTACAGCGGCAAAGCATTGTCCTGTTAGGTCCTTCCGTATGCACGATTTGACGTAGTCCGGATCCACACTCTCGGATGACAGGAACTTGTTAAACGCTTTGATGCCGGCCGCTCTCACATTCACGGTTGACTGAGGCCGCAAGCGGTCCATCCTTGTCTCACTTGGTCGGACGGTCGAACGTTGCAGGGTTATTTTTATGTTATGCGATTCACTTGCCTTGCGTATGCTCATAACGCATAACTTTAAAAAGGTCCGACCACACGTGCATAGCGGACCACCACCAAAGCTCTACCCTAACCCTTTTATATGCTATTGGGCAGAAAATTATTCGTTGCAACATTATTGGCTAACCAGTCGCAAACATTATTTTGATTGGCTAAAATTACCAATACAATTATCAAGAGTGGTCAGACCTTTCGCATTATTCATCCATAACGACTCGGACAAATATTTGCTGGATATGTGCTTCGGACACGCAGTTAACTGGATTTACGCATTAGAGCATCTCCAACGGTAAATTCTAACCTATTGCTAAAGCATAGGTTAAAGTCAAACTTCGTTTTTACGGTTGCTATTTTGGCACTATCCGGACTTTTTAGAAATTTCGAATCGCAGAATTTCTATTTTCGCGTGAAATAGCAACAAATCCTCCGGATAGTGCAAGAATTTCTATTCTATATCCGTAACTTCGAATTGAAATAGAAATAAAAACACCGTTGGAGATGCTCTTAAATGCGAATAGTTGTACCACAGG